CTTCTTTGATCATAAATACTCCACACTTGTGCATGGCAGAACGCAGTTGAACAGGTGAACTGTCTCTCAGTTCTAAGATCATAAAACTTCTCTCCAGTTGATAAGGATTTGTTACACCTGTGCAGGACTGAACCCCCCTATGCGGGGGGTCTACCTCTTAGTGTTTGAATTCCATGCAAAGGGTTTTATAGCAGAGCTTTAAGGCTTACACACCATCCTCCCTTTTTTATAAGTGGGCATTACAGAAAATGCAAGAAGATCCAAATGGATACTTATGGATAAGTAGTGGAAACACCCGGCCTCCACACTGCCAGAGTCTGATAATGTGCAGGGGACGTGGGGACAACATACCAACAATACTGTTTCCTAGGACAGGAAGTGTCACTGGCAGGATCACCAACTGAAATGTAAAGAAAGAAAATCCCGAATAAGGAAAACTAATGCAGCCACCACATCTTAAACTGGTGAGCTGCAGTGTGGTAGAAGGTATTCTTGGGTTTAAAGTGGTTCTAAAGATTAAGGTTTTCTTTTTACCTTCATGCATTCTGTGCATGAAGGTAAAAAAATCTTCTTTTACTTGGATCCCCCTTATACTTACCTGAGCCCCATCACAATCCAGCTCCATGCATGAGAGCAGTGGCTCTCCCAGGTCTCTGCCTCTTCACTGGGTAGATCTATATCAGCTGGAGCCATTAGCTACTGTCAATCAAACTTTGTGACCGTGCCCCCTGTCAGTGTCTGTGGATGTCACTGGATGAAGATGAGGAGCCAGAAGCACCAGTGGGGGACCCGAGAAGAAGAAGATCGGGGATCGGGGACGCTGTGTGCAAAACCACTGCACAGAGCAGGTAAGTATAGACATGTTTGTTGTAAAAATGTTTATATATATATATATATATATGTGACTTACAATCGCTGTAAATACAATTTAAAGTGTTATTAAACCCAGGACCCTGCATTCACTATATCCGGTCTCCCCGGACCCCTGTATTCACTATATCTGCTCTCCCCGGACCCTGCATTCACTATATTTGGTCTCCCCGGACCCTACATTCAATATATCTGGTCTCTCTGGACCCTGCATTCACTATATCCGCTCTCCCCGGACCCTGCATTCACTATATTTGGTCTCCCCGGATCTCTGCATTCACTATATCCAGTCTCCCCGGACCCTGCATTCACTATATCCAGTCTCCCCGGACCCTGCATTCACTATATCTGGTCTCCCCGGACCCTGCATTCACTATATCTGGTCTCCCCGGACCCTGCATTCACTATATCTGGTCTCCCCGGACCCTGCATTCACTATATCCGGTCTCCCCGGACCCTGCATTGACTATATCTGGTCTCCCCGGACCCTGCATTGACTATATCGGTCTCCCCGGACCCTGCATTCACTATATCTGGTCTCCCAGGACCCTGCATTCACTATATCCGCTCTCCCCGGACCCTGCATTCACTATATCTGGTCTTCCCTGACCCTGCATTCACTATATCTGGTCTCCCCGGACCCTGCATTCACTATATCCGGTTTCCCCCCGAACCCTGCATTCACTATATCCGGTCTCTTCGGACTCTGCATTTACTATATCCGATCTCTCACTGTACACAGAACATGGAAGTGCAATTATTTTAGTAAATATAAACTGCTAAATACCTTTCTCATCAGCTGTATATAGCAGTCTTGTGACTTCTATCAGTGTCCAGCAGAGCACATGTTAAAGCTTGGAGGAGGAGTTTTCCTAATGCAAAACCCCTGACCTCTGTCTGGACAGTGCTGGTTGGCCCTGGGCTGATCACATGCACTCTACCACGGGAAAAAAAAAAAAAAACCCTCTAGCAATACACACCAAACTGAGCATGTGCAGAGTGTCTCCACACGATATGTCTTATCAGTAGATGAGAGGGGGGACACTGGAAGAAGGGGAGGATCAGAGAAGTCAGGATCAAACAGCCTTTTTACACAATGCAGAGAATTAACCCCTTAGGTTCCACAGTGAGTATAACAAGCATGCTTTACTGCATCTACAGACTGATTGTACTGTTGTGGGTTTAGTAACACTTTAAAGCTTCTTCTGCATGGTCACAGAGTTCAGACACTTCCACATCCAAAACTACAGCACCCATTTCATTAACTTGAAAACAAACTCGTCATAAAAGCTCCCAGATCAGGGCCCTCCTATCCCTCTTGTATTGAACTGTATTGTTGCTGTATTGTCTCCCGTTATATTGTAAAGCGCTGAGCAAACTGTTGGCGCCATAAATCCTGTATAATAATAATAATATAAATCCTGTATAATAATAATAATAATAATATAAATCCTGTATAATAATAATAATATAAATCCTGTATAATAATAATAATATAAATCCTGTATAATAATAATAATATAAATCCTGTATAATAATAATATAAATCCTGTATAATAATATAAATCCTGTATAATAATAATATTAAATTCTTGCCTTTTCTTTCCTTTTTTGCTGCAGTGTGGTGTTAGTGTAGTATAAAGTGTAGCCTCCAGGTGGAGCAGCTGAAGCGTCCGTTGAAATATTCTCCTATTTTGATGTGTTGGTTTGTGTCTTAGAGCTGGAGATACAGTTAAAGGATAAGTTCATCTTTTACAGAAAAAAACAATAAATCCACATCTTTTTGCTGTTAAAAAAATGGGAATTTATACATTTTTTTTTTGCACTGCAATCTGTAAGGCATTGCATGTGCAGACAGCAGATTGCAGGTGCAACGCTTGTATCCTGCAGACACTCAGTAAGCTGTCCGCCTGTACCTCATATGGGTAGGCAGGTACTGAATGGCAGGAAGAATCAGTGGACTTGCGAGAGCGCTCACCAGAGTTTTTGCAGAATATGAGAATAACAAGCTGTCAGCCGCGAAGGCCGATGGTAGATGTAGTTCATTCATTTACAGAACTCCTGTGAACAAATGACACGGCTGTGTGGGCTGACCCCTGCATGGCCACGCAGAGAGAGGAGGCAGGACATGGAACATATTAAATGTTCCACCCTAACTACAGATGTAACATGTTCCAAAGGTGAACTTTGCCTTTAAAAGCATCCTGAGGAGTTTTTATTTAGGTTTTTAAAGCCGGGCTCTAGACAAAAATAATTAGATATCAATGAACAGTCTATTAAAAGAGACGCTAACAAAACCAGTTCTTGCTGAAATATTCAACCTTAACCCCTTGACGCCTGGGGCCTCCCGACCCTTTAAGGGTTTTCAGGTGCCGGGGGGGGTTGGGTTTATGATCATGTCACCGCCGTGATTGGCTGTCACAGCAGTCACATGATCAGAAAGCTCCCAATCACAAGTAGAGATTAGGAGCTTTCCGGTGCCCTCTTGGCACAGCTTTGTGTACAAATGGGTACGCATAACCCCTCGCCCTCCAGAGGATTTACCCCCCCCCCCCCCTTCCTGACCAGACCATTTTTTGCATTACAGCAAAGCGTTACTTTAACTGACAATTGCGCGGTCATGCAGCGCTACACCCAAATTAAATTGATGTCCTTTTTTTCCCACGAATTGAGCTTTCTTTCGGTGGTATCTTATCGCCTGTGCGGTTTTTATTTTTTGCGCTCTAAAAAAAAAAATCAAATTTCATCATAAATTTAGGCCAAAATGTATTCTGCTCCATGTCTTTGCTTTAAAAAAAAAATAAAAATCCTCGGACCCTGCATTCACTATATCTGATCTCTCACAGTACACAGAACATGGAAGTGCAAGTATTAATCCCAATACGTGTAAATTAATTGGTTTACGTGAAAGTTATAGCGATTACAAATGGCGATATATATACTGGGATTTTTAATTTTTATTAGTAATGGCAGCAATCAGCGACTTATAGCAGGACTATGGCAGACATTCTGACGCTGGTGGGAAGTGACGTGGTGTCACTGACACCCCCAGTGACACCAATACAGTGATCAGTGCTAATAAAAAGCACTGACACTGTACTAATGGCACTGGGCAGGAAGGGGTTAACATGAGGGGCGAGCAAAGGGTTAACTGTGTGCTGTTTTACTAGGGGGCCGTGTCCGTGTGCTTCACTGTAATCACACTGCTCTGGATGGCTGTGCTGTGCACAGCCATCCAAAGCAGTGTGCCCGAGCTGACAGGGAGGAGAACTGTTAGTAAACGAAACAGCTCTCCTCCCTGTCGGAGATCCTCAGCAATCACTGGGCGCCGGCTAGTAATCAATGGCTGGGATCTGGTGATTGACAGCCGTGAATGGTGGCGCGCGCCTTACCCGGAAATGCAAAATCACGTGTGTATGTGTATATACGTGTGTGTGTATATATACGTGTGTGTGTGTGTATATACGTGTGTGTGTATGTGTATATACGTGTGTGTGTATGTGTATATACGTGTGTGTGTATGTGTGTATATACGTGTGTGTGTGTGTGTGTGTATATACGTGTGTGTGTGTGTGATTTTTGCGTACCTGTGCCGCCTTGTAGCAGTATTTCTGCTATAGGGTGGTTGGGAAGTGGATAATTATGGCCTTGTAGGTATTAAGCCCCACCCGTCGATAGGTCACATATATGCGTACCGCCGTCACCAAGGCGTTAATCCAGAGATTTACCTCCCAATAATTTTTTTCTCTGCCACTGGGTGTCCTCAGTCCAATGACCAAAATCCTTCAACCCACTTCATTTGAGCCCAAGTTGTCCTGGACCCCATTCCCCTCCCCCACTCCATCCAGTGAAAGGAGAAGCAGTAGAATGATGATGTCATCTCTCTGTCGTCCAGTCAGCGTGCTCCTTGTCCACCAAGGACCTGATTGGCTTCTTGTACTGCTTCTTCTTCTCTCATGCCAGCCCTACTGTACAAGAACTGCAAGAAGTTTATACAAGGTGATATTCAGGTGCTCACACTAATGTGCATGTAGAGAATACCTTCAATGATTACAGAAGTGCGTTCATTTGTGTCTTTTCTATCTGCCTCGAGTTTAGCTTTAAGAAAAACTCTTTCTTTGTTTTTGCAGATCTACTGGGGAGCCTGTGGCCTGGTCCTCGCCGGAAACGCTGTGATCTTTCTCACCATCCTTGGATTTTTCGTAGTCTTTGGAAGAGGAGACGACTTTAGTTGGGAGCAGTGGTAAAATGCCAGCTGCCTTCCCTTTATTGTACTGACAGCTCCAGGCTGATCCTGTGTATGTATATACATCCCGTGTATAGTAATCAGGGCCTAATCTCTTGTATATCAAGTGTATGAAACGTGTGAAAGGCTGTAGATCTATGCAGCATTGCGTCTTTTTCATTTCCACGTTTGTTTAGCTCTGTGACTTTTCTTCTGCTATGATAAAAGCACTTTGAGATCCACACGTGTCCCACACATGCTTTCCAGAGCTGCTTCTTGCTTAAAGGAGTTTTTTTTATATTCCAACCCTTTAGATGTCGCAGTTTCTGGTTTTCTCGTAATATTTATTTTATACTTTTTGCACTTTTTAAAGGATTGTAACCCTTTCAAATATAAAGAGTATGTCTAGGAATGTTCATTACTAAGTATACATTCCCGTTTCACAAGTTGAAGTAGGAATGGTCAAACAGCCAGGTCCATGAAATTATAGCTGTTGCCTAACTCTTCTGAAAGCCTATTTACATCAACACATGGTGGTAACAGGCACCCCAATGCACTAAGGCAGGGGTGTCAAATTGGCGGCCCTCCAGCTGTTGTGAAACTACAAGTCCCATCATGCCTTTGCCTTTGGGAGTCATGCTTATAACTGTCAATCTTGCAATGCCTCATGGGACTTGTAGTTTGGCAACAGCTGGAGGGCTGCCAGTTTGACACCTGTGCACTAAGGCAACACACCTGTACTGTACATTGCTGTGTATTACAAAAACTTGTCATGTCCAATCTTTGCCTTGTTAGGCTCCAGGCACAGTGGAACGTTTTTCTGCTGGCAGCAGAAAAATTCTAAACGCGTCAAAAAAGCGTGCAAACGTGGTACCATGTTTAGCTGCATTCAGCGATTGGACGTTTACTCATTTCATTTGCCAGAGTACTTTCCATTGAAATTAATAAAGCCCAAACGCTAAAGGCGGTTAGCACTTAGGCGCATTTAGATATGTTTTTGCCGCGTTTAGCATTTTCTGGTCAAAATGTTCCTTTCCTGAACGTGATTCTTCTGCATTTAGGGCTCATGTACACTGCAGCTCCTAAACTGACGTTCAGGAGCTGTTCAGTGTTTTTTTCAGCAGCCCCTGAACTCACCCTAATGTTTTCCTATGTGTCCATGTACACTATGTTGCTTACAGGCAGTTGCGTTTACAGTCGTTTTTTTAAACGCACCAAACTTGCGTTCAGGAGCAGATTTTTACCGGCATTTCAGACGGTTAACCACATTTATTAGCGTTTGCGTTTTAGAAGCGTTTTTTTAAATTGATCCATATCCAGATTCTGTCGAGAGACTTTTTTTTTATTATTATTATACAGGATTTATATCGCACCTACAGTTTGCGCAGCGCTTTATAAAATGAAGGTAGACATTACAGTTACAATACAATTTGGTACAAGAGGAAACAGAGTGCCTGGCTCGTTAGAGCTCACAATCTTTTCATCATCAGAAATGCATGCAAAGAGTTTTTCCATGTATGCAAACGGACCCAGTACATCAGCGCAGTCAGTTCCAGGTATTCAAATGGACCCGGTACATCAGCGCAGTCAGTTCCAGGTATTCAAATGGACCCGGTACATCAGCGCAGTCAATTCCAGGTTTCGCGTGAAGGAAACAATGGTAGAACGCGCTGCATTATGCTCATGATGGGGGATCCATAGTGAATACAACCAAAAAAGACAGGTCATCTCAACACATACTGCTCTCTCTGCTTCTGCTCTCTCTATTCCTCTCAAAATGTCTGAAATTGTTAATTTTTTACTATTTTTCAGTGCATTCTGGGCATTTGGGAAGGTCTCCTGAGTATGTGTTGAGATGACCTGTCTTTTTTTTCTAGTTGTATTCACTATGGATCCCATCATGAGCATAATGCGGCACGTTCTACCATTGTTTCCTTCAACCGAAACCTGGAACTGACTGCGCTGGTGTACCGGGTCCATTTGAATACCTGGAACTGACTGCGCTGATGTACCGGGTCCATTTGAATACCTGGAAAATGCTTTGCATGCATTTCTGATGAAAAGATTGTAAGCTCTAATGAGCCGGGCACTCTGTTTCCAAATTGTATTGTAACTGTAATGTCTCCATTTTGTAAAGCGCTACGCAAACTGTTGGCGCAATATAAATCCTGTATAATAATAATAATAAAAAAAAAAAGGCTCTGGACAGCATACCGATATGGAACATAAACGCGGTATTTAAAGGTAAACACGGTATGCAAACGCGGCTACACTGCCGGTTTTTCAGCTACGCTTTCCAGCAGTCAGTTTCCATCGTTCAGAAGAGTTTTCCAGTCACCCCGTGTACATGAGCCCTTAGAAGAGAACTTTTAACTGCCCGTAAACGCTGCTGCTGTTATACTCCCCATAAAAGTCTATGTATGCATGGACACATAAGCTTTTATTGAGTTCAGTTCAGGGGCTTTGGCAAAAAAAAGAAAAAAAAAAAAAGTCAGAAGTTCTTTAACTTGCATTTATGAGCAGCAGTGTACATAAGGCCTAAAGGTGGGTTGACAGCTCATTCTTTTCAATGGACTGCATGTTACCGCACAACATAAAATGAAACATAAAGTAGTAAATGGGTCCTAAAGCCTTTTGTTTTGTTCTTACATGTTCCTCTCAAAAGGGCCTTCTGGCTCCTAGATTGGGCTGGCTCCTGAATTCGACTTTGATTCCCCATTCACGCTCAAGCGTTTTGTAGCTGTGATGAATAAGTGGGCATATTCCCAAGTGCACTTGACAAACCACGAGGTCCCATAAAGCCAACCTGACAGGTCCTCAAAAAAGTACTACTACTAGTTTACTATGCTTCAGATTTGAATGAACACAGTGAGTGATTGGTACCAATCGCCCATTGTGTTCATTCGGGAAAGGAAGGGGCTGGTTAAATGTGGCTTCTTTACCTGGGTCCCTCCCCAACTCCAATGACGCTCTATTAAGCCGCGGTTACCTTTTTTTATAGAAGACAATTTTTTTAAGATTGTATTTCCTAACAGTAGCTTGTAGCTCGAAGGTCAAAAATGCTTAACAAGCAATAGCCCTTGTTCACATCTGAGGGGCCTGTTGCTCAAAAAAATACCTGAACTACTTTTCTGGCAGAATTGAGTGTTTTTGTCTCCATTACATGTAGCGATGCATAATGAATACAGAGCACCATTGATTTGTGTCTTCTATATCTTCCTGGAGTTTCTTTACAATTGATCTACAGCCAAAACGTTTCTTTAGCTTTGGGTAGGGTGATGAAGACTTAGCATTTCTAGTTTTTCTTATGGTTTGTGTCCCCCTTCAGGAGATATTCCTTCACTTCTCATCAAGTGATTTTTACAGGAATGGAAGGGAAATCTCACCAAGACACAACATCTCTCAGGTTTCCTACTCCACCCAGAACTTAGAAAAATGGTTGGAAGGAGTTACACTTTAATTTGCCCACCCCTAGATTAAAGGGAACCTGTTGATCAATACATAAAAAAAAATATTAAAACTACCATGTGCCAGGAAGCACCATGCGGTGTGGGTATACATGCCAGTGCCTTGTTCTGATTCTCCACATCGGTGCCCTGGGAAGGTGCGTACCGCATATATTGCCTTCTATTTTAGGTAAAGACACGCCCCTCCCGTCCATTAATCCAATTAAATTCCCTCCCGTGAGAGAATTAGGGGCCGCCTTAAGAGTCACTGACTTTGTTTGGCACTACTTTACAGCCCTTAATGTTCTCATGACAAATGCACTTTGAAGAGACCCTGTCATTTTACCGATTCAGAGCAAAGTGACACTCTTATTAGAAAAATATGGGTGAATACTTGTGAGCTACTATGACTGAGGTGTAACTATAATTATTAATAGTAGTAAACTGCCTAGGTGTAATACTGGGTGCGCTGACACATTCACAAACTCACTTGGTATTGTGTCTAATAATCAGTAAATATATATTTATAGTGCCGCGCTCCTATTACAGGTTTTTTTATCACATATAGTGTGTCACTCATCTAAATAAATAAATAAATAAAATAATGATAATTAATAATAAGTGGTTGATGTGACATATAAATCAATATTGGAATTATGCCAATAAAGTGCTAACTTATGTGCTCGGTCAATAATAATATTACAATAAATAGTGCAAGTATAATTCATATAGTGCATAAATAAATAAAAAAGTATTTTTTATATATAAATTGGTGCAATATGCAATGTGCAGGTGAACTCCTTAATCCCACTTTCCAGGTGCCGTGTGATCTCAATATGCGCTCACCTTTATATTTGCCCAAATGAATTTAGGCAAATAAACTTTTTGTCCTTCCAGGACTGGTGGGATGATGCTCCTATATACGGTATTCCAAATGAGAGTGAAGGTCTGCTCAGATCCTCTTTTTATCTCCTCTTACTCCATATACATAGCCACTCATGGATGAATCTTTGGATCATATGTGAATCTCTCCTATTTCCCCTCCTGGGGACACCTCCTCCTCTTATCCACCTTTCCTCAGAGTTGGTGATGCAAATCAAATGAAGAAAAGAAAACCATGGTGTCTTCTCCTTTTTGTAAAAGTAGTTTATTGCCATGCGGTGTCTTATCCTTTTGTTACAGATGAAAGTATAATGCTTTGCCTTGTCTGCCAATCGATCCTCTCCAATGCAACGTCGTGATCAGAGCCCCTCCCCTATAGCGTCACATTATGAATCATATTCCCCCCCTGATGAAGTCACGTGACCCTGTGACGCAACGCGTAGGGGAGGGGCTCTGACGTCACGACGTTGCATTGGAGAGGATCGGCGATTCCAGCAGAGGCAGACAGAGAGGCAGAGAGCATTATCAGCTCCTATATATCTGTAACAGATAAGTGCCATAATCTGCTATAAAGAGGATCTGATACAGACCTTCACTCTCATTTGGAATACCAACTCTGTATATAGGAGCACATCATCCCACCAGCAGACCTCCTGGAATACCGTAGGACAAAAAAGGACAAAAAGTTTATTTG